AAGTCGTGGTGGATAATTCCTTTTATGTATTTTTAATTCTATGACCTAACATTTGTTAAGGATTTTTATATCCAATATTTTTTTTCTTTTTTTTTTAAATTTATTTATTATTATTATTATACTTTAAGCTCTAGGGTACATGTGCATAACGTGCAGGTTTGTTACATATGTATACTTGTGCCATGTTGGTGTGCTGCACCCATCAACTTGTCAGCACCCCTCAACTCGTCATTTACATCAGGTATAACTCCCAGTGCAATCCCTCCCCCCTCCCCTCTCCCCATGATAGGCCCCGGTGTGTGATGTTCCCCTTCCCGAGTCCAAGTGATCTCATTGTTTAGTTCCCACCTATGAGTGAGAACATGTGGTGTTTGGTTTTCTGTTCTTGTGATAGTTTGCTGAGAATGATGGTTTCCAGCTGCATCCATGTCCCTACAAAGGACACAAACTCATCCTTTTTGATGGCTGCATAGTATTCCATGGTGTATATGTGCCACATTTTCTTACTCCAGTCTGTCACTGATGGACATTTGGGTTGATTCCAAGTCTTTGCTATTGTGAATAGTGCCGCAATAAACATACGTGTGCATGTGTCTTTATAGCAGCATGATTTATAATCCTTTGGGTATATACCCAGTAATGGGATGGCTGGGTCATATGGTACTTCTAGTTCTAGATCCTTGAGGAATCGCCATACTGTTTTCCATAATGGTTGAACTAGTTTACAATCCCACCAACAGTGTAAAAGTGTTCCTATTTCTCCACATCCTCTCCAGCACCTGTTGTTTCCTGACTTTTTAATGATTGCCATTCTAACTGGTGTGAGATGGTATCTCATTGTGGTTTTGATTTGCATTTCTCTGATGGCCAGTGATGATGAGCATTTTTTCATGTGTCTGTTGGCTGTATGAATGTCTTCTTTTGAGAAATGTCTGTTCATATCCTTTGCCCACTTTTTGATGGGGTTGTTTGTTTTTTTCTTGTAAATTTGTTTGAGATCTTTGTAGGTTCTGGATATTAGCCCTTTGTCAGATGAGTAGATTGCAAAAATTTTCTCCCATTCTGTAGGTTGCCTGTTCACTCTGATGGTAGTTTCTTTTGCTGTGCAGAAGCTCTTTAGTTTAATGAGATCCCATTTGTCAATTTTGGCTTTTGCTGCTATTGCTTTTGGTGTTTTAGACATGAAGTCTTTGCCCATGCCTATGTCCTGAATGGTACTACCTAGGTTTTCTTCTAGGGTTTTTATAGTATTAGGTCTAACATTTAAGTCTCTAATCCATCTTGAATTAATTTTCGTATAAGGAGTAAGGAAAGGATCCAGTTTCAGCTTTCTACTTATGGCTAGCCAATTTTCCCAGCACCATTTATTAAATAGGGAATCCTGTCCCCATTTCTTGTTTTTCTCAGGTTTGTCAAAGATCAGATGGCTGTAGATGTGTGGTATTATTTCTGAGGACTCTGTTCTGTTCCATTGGTCTATATCTCTTTTTTGGTACCAGTACCATGCTGTTTTGGTTACTGTAGCCTTGTAGTATAGTTTGAAGTCAGGTAGCGTGATGCCTCCAGCTTTGCTCTTTTGACTTAGGATTGTCTTGGCAATGCAGGCTCTTTTTTGGTTCCATATGAACTTTAAAGCAGTTTTTTCCTATATCTAATATTTATAAGGAATTATCTTAATCTGTTTTGCACTGCTGTAACAGAACACTTGAAACTGGGTAATTTATAAAGAATAAAAATTTATTCTCTCACAGTTCTGGAGGCTGGAAAGAAGTCCAAGATCAAGACACTGATCTGATGTAGGCCTTCTTACTATGTCCTCACATGGGGAAGGCAGAAAGGCCAAGAGGGAAAAAGAGGGCTGAACTTGCCCATTTCTAATAGCATTCTTCCCACCCATAAGGGCCTACTCACATCTTAAAGGTCCCACCTCTCAATACTGTTACAATAACAATTAAATTTCAACATGAGTTTTGGAGGAGACAAACATTTGAACCATAGCAAGGATATTGGTCTGCATTTTTCTTTCTTCCTTTTGTGTGTTTGTTTGTTTGTTTGTTTACTGCCTAGTTTAGGTACTAGGGTATTACTAGCTTCAAAAAATGAATTGAGAAGTCTTCCCTCCTCTTATTTTCTTAAAGAGATTGTATAGAATCAGTGTTAACTGTTCCTTAAATGTGTGGTAGAATTCTCTCTAGTAAAATCATCTGGGCTTACATATTTAGGAGAAGTGGAATGTTCTATAAATCAATAATTCAATTTCCTTAATACTTATAGGGCTATTCAAATAATCTATTTCATACTGGGTGAGTTGTGGTAGTTTGTGTTTTTCGAGAATTTCTTCACATCATCTAAGTAATCAAGTGTATGTGTGTATAGAGTTGTTCATAGTATTCCTATATTAATCTTTTGATATCTACAGGGTCTGTAGTAACACCTCATTTCATTTATAATATTGGTAACTTATGGCTTTTCTTTTTTTCTTGTCAGTCTTGCCAGAGATTAATTTCATTGATCTTTTCAAATGACTAGCTCTTCCTTTCATTAATTTTCCTTACTGTTTTTCTGTTTTCCATGTCATTGATTTCTGTTTTTATTCCTTCCTTCTGCTTGTTTTTGGTTCATTTTGCTCTTTTTTTTCTTGGTTCTTAAGTGGGAGCTTAAATTATTAATTTGAGACTTTCTCTTTTCTATTGAAAACATTTAGTGCTATAAATTCTGCTTAGCTATGTCCCACAAACTTTGATATGTTGTATTTTCATTTTCATTCAGTTCAATGTATTTTTTAAATTCCTAGCAACTTCTCCTTTACCATAGATTATTCATAGTTGTACCATTTGGAGTTAGATTCTGTTAGATTCCAAGTGTTCGGAGATTTTTGTTATCTTCCTCTTAGTGATTTCTAGTTTTAGTCCCTTATGGATTTGCTCTATCCTGGTATATGTTTCGTGGCATCTGAAAAGAATATGCATTTTGCTTTTGTTGGGTACAGTGTTCTATAAATTTCAACTGGAACCTACTGGTTGATGAGGTTGTTGCTGATTTTCTAAGTGTTCTATGAATTCATGAGAGAGAAATGCAGAACTCTCCAACTATAATTGTGGAATTGTCTATTTCTCCTCTCAGTTCGTAGATTTTGCTTTGCATGTTTTGCAGTTCTATGGTCTGGTGCATATATTTTTTAAGACTGGCATGTCTTCTTGATGTGCTGACACTTTTATCATTATGTAATGTCCTCTGTGTCTCTGAGAACTTTCTTTGCTTGGAAGTCTATCTTATCTGATATTAATATAGCCATTCCCACTTTCCTTTGATGGATGTTTGTGTATTTTTAACCTTTTTATTTTCAAACTGGCTATATCATTATGTTTTAAATTTGTTCCTTGTAAATATTATATATCTGGGTCATGTGTTTTAATCCATTTTACCACTATGTCATTTAATTGCTAAATTCAAACCATTTACATTTAAATTAGGGTTTAAGTCTGTCATTTTAGATTTTGTTTCCTGTCTGCTCTGGTTTCTTTTGTTTCTCTGTTTTCTTTTTCCTGTCTTCCTGTACATTACTTGAACATATTTTAGAATTCTACTTTTATTTATTTATAGTGTTTTTAGTGTATCTCTTTGTATAGCTTTTTAATTGTTACTCTAAGTATTACATTTTATAAATATAGCTTACCACAATTGACTGAGGGTATTATTTTACTAGTTCAAGTGATACGTAGATATCTCACCTCCCTTTATGTCTCTTTAAGACATATAATATGTCTTAAATATGTCCTCTAAATTCTGTTACAACCACATCAGCATGATAAATTTTGCTTCAACGGACAAACATAACTTAGAAAACTCAAAAGGAGAAGGAAGTTTTATAGTACTTACCCATATTTTTGCTTTACATGGGCTTTGTTCCTTCTATATATTCCTGAATTTTTTCTCTTATTTCTCTCTATTTAGAGAACTTTTCCTAGCCATTCTTTTAGGGTAGGTATGCTGGCAACAAATTTTCTTCTATCTGAGAATGTCTTGATTCCTTCATTCCTAAAGGATATGTTTCTGGACATAGGATTCTGGAACACAGTTGTTTTCTTCCAGCACTTGAAAAATGTTCTGCCACTTACTTCTGGCCTCCATCACTTCTCATGAGAAACCCATTTCCATTCAAATTGTTTTTCCCCTACAGGTAGCATGTCCTTTCTTTTTTGTTGCTTTCTTTATCTTAATATAATGCCCCTCTGTGTCTCTGAGAACTTTCCTTGCTTGGAAGTCTATCTTATCTGATATTAATATAGCCATTCCCACTTTTCTTAGATTGATGTTTGGTTTTTCTTTATCTTTCATTTTCAGAAGTTTGAATATTATGTGATTTGTTCCATATTCCTTTGGATTTTTCCAGTTTGGGATTTGCTCAGGCTCCTGAATCTATAGCTTTCTGCCTTTTGCCAAACTGGTAACTTTTCAGATATAATTTATTTCAATACTTTTCAGTCTCTCCCCATCTTTTGTGATAACACAAATACTAGATCTTTTGTTATAGTCCCTCAGATTCCCCAAGGTTCTATTGGCCTCCTAGCATGTTAATAGATATAATTCACATAAAAAATTATTGAGGTCTTCTATAATTTTTTTTGAGACAGGGTCTCTCTCTGTTGTCCAGGCCGGAGGTCAGTGGTGCAATCACGGCTCATTGGAGGCCTCAATTGCCTGGGCTCAAGTGATTCCCTCATCTTAGCCTCCCAAGTAGCTGGGACCACAGACATGTGCCACCCAGCTGGGTTATTATTTGTAGATACAAAGTCTCGTTATGTTGGCCAGACTGGACTCAAACTCCTGGGCTCAAGCAACCCTCTCGCTATGTCCTCCCAAAGTTCTGGGATTACAGGCATGAGCTACCACACCTGGCCAGCCCTCAACAATTTTTAAGAGTAAAACAAGTCTCCTGAAACCAAAAAGTTTGAGGACCTGTGAGGTACAAAAAAGTAATATTAAAGAAAGTTTCTTACTTCCTCTCCCAAGACTTGCAAGTGTGGTTTGTGAGCACGCTCTCTAGTTCCCTGTGCCAATTCAGGTGGTATCCCTTGTGGTGTCAGAGGAATATGGACATATTCTTGGTTGTCATCCATAACAGGAATTCCATATAATATTCTACAATGTGATAAGAACAGTAAGTTTGTTTTTAAGTAATTGACAAAGCATAAGATATTTGCCCTCATTTCATAACTCCACTGAAATAAACACATAGACATTTGACACCTGCACTAAACAGAGATTGTGTAGAAGTCAGATAATCCAAAATGAGAAATAATCCAAAAAATGCTAATATCTGGTTCTTAATACATTTTAATAGTAACATTTATGATGATTTTGTTTCATTATACTAGAATAATAAATTCACCCTATGAAAGCCTAGTTACAAAAGAGGTTTTAAAAAAAAAACCTTCTCTACCTTCTGATCTCTCACCTACTCCCCATTCCAAGCCCACATATACACACAGAGTTTCATTTCTTGGACTGGGGCAAAGCATCAGCCTAAGCAGAAGTGCCTTCTCACATTATGGTTTTCCCTTCTTGCTGGGATGAACAGAAAATTGTTCAGGCATCAAGTCTTTCTTTTAGACTACAAGCTACATATACGTAAGAATATATATGGAACAAAACTTATCAATACAAGATTAAGCTAAAGAGATGAGATAAATCAAAATTTGAAGGTAAAATGTGTCATTAATTACTGACCTACAGACTGGCTTAAAAATACATTAACTTTTGTACTGTAACACTTAACTGTAAAATAAATATAAAATAAACATAAAGACAAAATATCCAAGAATATATACATAGTCAAGTGCCACATACGTATTATAGATATATCGATTTCACATTGAAGCATTTAGAGCTACTGTTTCCTCTAACTTATTGATACACTATTATATGAAGAATCACTTTATGAGTTACCAAATGTGAAAATTAAGCATACAAAAACCCAACTGATTACAGCAGGTTAATAATATACTGAAATCCTCAAATCCCATCATTCCTGCTGTTAAGAAGTAGACCCACTCAGAGCCAGGCTAGAGAAGATATGGCTTTGTCAGAGTAGAGTCATGAATAAAAGTTTCCTATCTTACCTACTAAAATACTTGAATTCAAGGAGAGTTTAAAACTCTACTCCCAGCAAGGTGAATACCACTGCCACTTAACACCCATTCCATCCTCCTTCTAACGTACTTTTCTGAACTGCCAAGGATAGAAAGGTAAAACTCTCTTGGCCAGGCATGGTGGTTCATGCCTGTAATCCCAGCACTTAGGGAGGCTGAGGCAGGGAGATCACTTGAGGCCAGGAGTTCAAGACCAACCTAGTCAACAAAGTGAAACCTCGTCTCTACTAAAAACACAAAAATTAGCTGGGTGTAGTGGCACACACCTGTAGTCCCAGCTACTCAGGAGGCTGAGACATAACAATTGTTTTAACTCAGAGTGCGGAGGTTCCAGTGAGTCAAGGTCACGCCACTGCAATCCAGCCTGGACAACAGAGTCAGATTCTATCTTAAAAAAAAAAAAAAAAAACTCTCCTGAGGCCAGTGTTCTCGATATTATTTAGAATCCACTAACCAAATGCCATTCAGAAGGCAGAAGGTTCTGATGTTTCTGTTGGCAAGTACAGTCACGACAATGTTGAGTTCTTCTGTAGCAGTGTTCCAGTAAAGTTACGACTTTGTGAGTTGTGTTTTTTATTTGTTTGTTTTTTTTCAGTGAGCACGTCAAACAGACACAGTGTGGCTCCAGAGTCCAAAGCTGTGACAGTAAAGGCTACTTAATCCCTGAATCTCAGTTAAGGTGGTATGTTGCCAGTGCTGGCTTCCAGATATGCTGCCTTCCTGTGTCAGGAGCAGCAGCGTCCCAGGCAGCCAGTTAAACATGCTCTGTGAGTCATCCCCAGGAGATCTCCCTACCTAATGCCCCATTTTTCTAACCCTCTCATTGATTTTAAAACACCAAATTCCCATTACTCAGTCCTTTTTTGCTTAAAATAGCTACAGCTGTGATATGATTTGGCTGTGTCCCCATCCAAATCTCACCTTGAATTGTAGTTCCCATAATCCCCATGTGTTGTGGGAGGGACCCGGTGGGAGGTAATTGAATCATGGGAGTGGTTACCCCATAGTGCTGTTCTCGTGATGTGAGTGGTTTATCACAAGAGCTGATGGTTTTATAAGGGGCTTTTCCCCCTTTTGTTCATCACTTCTCCTTGCTGCCACCATGTGAAGAAGGACATGTTTGCTTCCCCTTCCACCATGATTGTAAGTTTCCTGAGGCCTCCTCAGGCCTGCAGAACTGTGAGTCAATTAAGCCTCTTTCTTTTATAAATTACCCAGTCTTGATTAGCAGCGTATGAACAGACTAATATAAGATGTTTCTGTTTTCTGAAGCTGAATTCCAGTGCATCCAGAAAAACAAAAGAACAGGGGAAAGTCTAGGGACTAAGAGAATGAGCCAAGTGAATACATACATCAGGATGAATAAGTATTTCTAAGATAGGTTGGGAGGAGAAGGAGATGGTGATGAGGAGAGCGGTGACTAAGAAGTTATCTAGAAGCACTGCTGTACTTTTCTCTGGCTCTAAGCCAGAAACAGGATAGTAAAAGTCATTTCTAACTTACTGTCTTTTGCTCTTTCATATTCCAAAAGCACGCTAAATAAACAGAAATTGGACTGGTTGGAAGAAAGTGAAGGTCACTGGACATTCTAGAGTGCATAGTTCTGGTAGACATGAATGGAGGCTTTGGTGGAAAGTCTTACCTAAGGTTAGCCTTTATGTTCCTGTATGACAAAGATGAAGCACTTACCTGGAAATTTTTATCCAGATTTTCCCTGCTTCCTTCTTTCTGTCCAGAGAAAAGAACCAACCCTTTCTAGAGTTCTGTCTGGAAAACACCACTATCTCAGTGGTTCAGACTGAAAATCTCTTCATCACCAATCTCTTCCCCACTCCCAACAGTAATGACTATTTCTGTTCATTCTCCCTCCATGATGTCTCTCCTGTTCATTGCATCTTCTCTCACCTGAGTCCTGTGATACCATCTTTGCTGGTCCCTTACTTCCAGACCCTCCCTCCTCCAATCCATGCCACATATCCCTGAAACTGTTGTTATCAGTCACCCCCTCTCCAAACATCTCACTGACTACACACACAGTATATATAACCCAAGCTCCTGACTCTGGCAGTCAGGGTCCTTCACAGTCTGGGCACCATCTACTTTGCCAACTCTGCTTCCTTCCCCCAACCTCCCACCCAAGCTACATTTGCAATGCAAAAAAAAAAATGCCTTATGTGCTGGGATTACTCCAGGAGCAATAGGGGAAACAGGCAAAATCAACAGGCCATTATAGTACCGAGTGGCTATGGAAATGGAGAATGATGAGAGCAAGACCTTCAGATCTCAACTCCTCCACAGACCTTTACAAATCCTCCTCTGCCCAGCCCAGATTCATGTCTGACTCCCTGGTTTCCCTGTTGCATTTCATCTGCTCTTTCATTATACAATATACTGCATTCTATTCCATATGCCTTTTTCACAGTAGAGCATAGGCTTGTTTGGGAGAAAAAGTGAGACTTACTCATTTTCTGTCTCCCAAAAACTTGAATGGAGTAGGTACTAAATAAATATTGTTGAATTTTGGCTGAGTAAGAAAAGTCTCAGAGCCAAAGCCAGCCCCATACTCTACCCTGGGAAACAGAATCACTGGTAAGGCACGAGATGCTGGGGGTTCTCAAAGTGTGTTCCCTACTGAGCAGCATTATTATCATATAAGAACTTGTTAGGAATGCAAGTTATTGAGCCCACCACAGACCTGAGTCAGAAACTCAGGAGCTGAGGCCTAGCCATCTGTGTTATAACCAGCCCTGAAGGTAATTCTGTACACTCTGAAGATGGAGAACAACTGAGGTACTCAATCTTTCCTAAAACAGCCTAATCATAAGAATATCCTGGGATGAAATCAAATTTGCATCTTCCCAGACCCCTTCTCTGAAGATTCTAATTCAGTAGGTTTGTGATAGAGCCTGGGAATTGACAAACTTATCAAACAACCCAGATGACTCTTATCCTCAAGAAAGACTAAAAATCACTAATATAGTAGAAAGAGTGAGCCTTTAGAATGAGGTTAGAAAACAGAATTTGAGCCCCTCATTGTGCTGTTTCTTTCTTCAGTCTGTTTCCTCATTTACAAATGGCAACAGTGAGTTTTTCAGAGTCAAATGTCTTAGAAATCATGTGTGTGAAGAGGCTTGCACACAGAATATGCTAAGAAAGTGATTGATATTATAACCACTATTGCTTATGATCATTGAGGGAGTTGAATGAAGGAAACAAGCCCACCTCTCTTGGAGTGAAAGTTAAACCTCATTTTGGGTCCACATTGGCATCCCATGAGGCCAGAGAGAGAAATGTATTTCTGATTGTATGATGCTGTTAAAGAAGTTTGGAAAACATTTGTTCTAAGTTGTGAGTACTCTGAAAAAATCTCTGCACACATCTTCTACGAGTTACATAAAGGTGACTGTGAGTTACATCTTGTGAAGCATGGAGAAGGGATCTCCCTCCAGCAATCCTCCCCTACCTTGGCATGACCCTAACAGACAGGTTCTCCATCACAGCTTCACTATCTCTTCCTTAACAAATTTATCTTGCTCTTTGGTGTACAAAAGCCTGCGAGAGGCTTCACAGGATGTAGATCACAGTCACTCTTAGGTAACTCATAGAAGATGTATACAGGGAAATTTGAAGAGTGCTCACATACAAAAGTTTCATCAAAGTCAATCTCACATGCAATGGTTCTATTCTAGATACCATTTTTTTAAAGTGCTCATAGCAAACTGATTCACACTAAACTGATTTCACAACCCACTCACTGGGTCGCAATTCACAATTTGAAAAACATTAACTTACAGAGAATGTTGTTTAAAAAGCATACGCCAAGGTCTGGAAAAAGCTTTAGGTTTTCATCTTCTTGAAAATGTTAATCTACAAATAACTTTCTTTAGTCTTTTATAATTTTTTTCTTTGAAATCTACAGCAGAGGCATATGAATACTTCGTATGTTTTAAAAAGATCAGAAAATATAGTCTTGATAAAATAACAAGTCTA